TTTTTCCATGATTACCTCTCCTTCCTGAGGCTACTAATAAACAGCTTTATCTTTATAGCAGATTCAGAGTCAGTGGTACCTCTACCACCACCACCTCCTATTAGCTTAATCTGTATTTGACCAGATCAAATCATCCAACACAGAAAGAAAATTTTAAATTGGGTGGCAGCTCATAGGTAATTCATGGTCCTAGCTCCCCTGCGTAGGGCACTGCCAAGTAGCCTAAGCTTGTATCTTCTAATATGGTAGCCACCAGAAAGGGAAAAAGAGAAAAAGGTGGCATGGTTGGGTTATTCTTTAGAATTACATCTAGGTACCATCCTTCCTGTAGTATCTCTACTCTTTCAGTCCAACAGCCGCAATTCAGAAATCTCTGGACGGGAGTTTTCACAACTTGAGCCAGCTGTCTATGGTTCAAGGCAAATACTGGGACCACCCACTCAAACTCAAAAGGGTTTCACCCAGCTGAAACAAAGTTGTCTGTTTCTCAGGATTGGTCCCAAAAATAACAGATAAGCATCTACTTTGTATCTGTTGTGTATGTTTAGTTGTTGACATGTTGTTTCTCCCAGTAGACTGTAAGCTCTTTGAAGGCAGGGACTGCTTTTGCCTTTCTTTGAATCTCCAGCGCTCAGCACACTGTCTGGTACGTAGCAGGTAAAATAAGTGCATGTTGACTGACTGACTGACCTCACAATGAAGTCTAACCCTGGTTCTGAACTGACAACAGCAGGAACAATGGAAAGCTATCAACTGGTATAGTGAGAAGCCCACGGAGTCCGACAACAGACTCCAGCTGTAGGGGGGTCTAAGCTTACAGCCTGTATCCTTGTCCCACTAAGTGGAATTCTCTCTTTCCCAGTCCATGCCCTCTTCCATTTTAGAGTATTCTCACTTCAATTGGGTCAAGGTACAACAGAGATACTTTTCTCATTTGGATTAATTAAAAGGCATTCCCACTCTTACTTTGGTCACCACAAGGACAAACTCTGTCTGATTAGGTGTTCTATTCAAGTAAAACCAAGGACTTCCAAGTAGGATGTTCCTTGATTAAATCTTTCATTCAAGGAAGACTCATCAGCTATCTCACTGAGGTGAAATCAAAGTGAATTTAGACTAAAATATTCTCAAAATAGCGTTTCTTCATCATTCCTAAGTGGCCTAAGTGCTGTGTGCCTTCAAATAGAGGAAGCATCAACATAACGTGGCGACTAATTGCATATGGAGGCCACAAATTGGAGATGAAGGGAGGAAATTAGCATTTATTAAGTGTCTACTGTGTTTCCAGGCACTGTGCTAAATTCCATACAAATGTGATCTCATTTGATCCTCACAACTCTGGGAAGTAGGTACTATTCTGATCCCCCTTTCATAGTTGAGGAAGGTGAAACAAACAAAATTTAGTGATTTACCCAGGGTCACACAGCTAGTAAGTATGAGGCCAGATTTGAATTCAGGTCTTCCTGACTCCAGGCCCAGCATTCTACCCACTGGGCCACCTAGCTTGAGGATGACTTCAAGATTACAAATTAGGGAAAAAGATGGTGATCCCTTCAAGAAGAATAGTGATGTTAGAAAGAGGGGGATGTTTTAAGGGAGAGATAATGAGTTCTGTTTGGGTCATTCACCTGGGAAACGTCCACTAGGCAGTTAGTGAAGTGGGATTAGAACTCAGGGGAGACTGGGAAAGGAGAGTTCGATCTGGGAGTTCTCCATGCGGAGATGACAGCTGGACCCCCGGGAGCTGATGAAATCTCCCACAGAGAGTATAAAGAGAAAAGAGGTCCCAGAAAGAGCCCGGGGAGACAGCAAAAGAGAACGAGAAGGGGGTTAGAGAGGCAGGAGGAAGAGCGAGGAGGAGGTGGCCAGCTTTCAAACACCACACAGAGCCCAGGTGGGCCCAAGGCAAAGATGGTGGCGTCTTGTTTGCAGTGAGATGAGTGAGGGGAGAAGCCTGGAGACAAGGGGGTGCACACAATCCATGCATATGGATTCGTAGGATACCGGCACCCAGAGGGGTAGAGGGATGGTGGTGGGGAAGGGTGGGAGACGGGAGGGCTCTGGAGAAAGAGAAGGAATTCAGTCTTGGACACGACAACTGGAGAGGCAGGATGAGAGCTCAGAAGAGAGGCTAGGGCTGGAGAGACGGCTCTGGGAAATGTAAGTATGGGAGCTCTGAGGTCGCCAATGCAGGAAAGAGAGAGAAGCCCAAGACAGAAGCTGGGGGACGCCCGCAGGAGGGGGCAGGATAAGGACGGTGGTGTCGCCCCAGAGAGGAGAGAAAGTGGTCAATAGCGTCCAACGCTCCAGAGAAGTCAAGAAGAATGAGGCCTGACCTCATTTCTAAAATATATGGAGAAGTGAGTCAAATTTATAAGATTGTAAGTCATTCCCCAATTGATAAATGGTCAAAGGATATGAACAGGCAGTTCTCAGATGAAGAAATTAAAGCCATCTATAGTCATATGAAAAAATGCTCTAAATCACTACTGATTAGAGAAATGCAAATCAAAACAACTCTGAGATACCACATCACACCTATCAGAATGGCCAACATGACAAAACAGGAAAATGATAGATGTTGGAGAAGATGTGGGAAAATTGGAACACTAATGCATTGTTGGTGGAGTTGTGAAATCATCCAACCATTTTGGAGAGCAATTTGGAACTATGCCCAAAGGGCTATAAAAATATGCATACCCTTTGACCCAGCAATAGCACTTCCAGGGCTATATCCCAGAGAGATCACACAAATGGGAAAAGGACCCACATGTACAAACATATTTACAGCTGCTCTTTCTGTGGTGGCAAAGAATTGGAAATTGAGGGGATGCTCATCAATTGGGGAATGGCTGAGCAAGTTGTGGTATATGAATGTGATGGAATACTCTTGTGCTATAAGAAATGATGAGCAGTCAGGCTCCAGAAAAACCTGGAAAGACCTGTATGGACTGATGCTGAGTGAAGTGAGCAGAACCAGGAGAATGTTGTACACGGTAACAGCTACGTTGTGTGATGACTAATATTGATAGACTTAACCTTTCTCAGCAATGCAAGGATCTAAGACATCTCCAAAGGCCTCATGATGGAAAATGCAATCAACATCCAGAGAAAGAACTATGGAGTTTGAATGCAGATCAAAGCATACTATCTGCTATTTTTTTGCTTCTGTTTTGTTTTTTTCTTTCTTGTGGTTTCTCCTATTGGTTCTAATTCTTACTTACAACATCACCAATGTGAAAATATATTTAATAGGAATGTATATGTATAGCCTATATCAGATTTTGCGCCGCCTTGGTGGGGGGGAAGGAGGGGAAGAAAAATTTAAAATTCAAAAGCATATGGAAGTGATTGTCGATAAATCAAGATAAATTAATAAAAAGAATGAGGTCTGAAAAAGAGACATTAATTAGATTTGGCAATTAAGAGGTTATTGGTAACTGGGGAGTGACCAGTATCAGTTGAATGATGAGGACAAAAGCCAAATTACAGAGGGTTTAGAAGTCTGTGTGTGGGCAGCTAGGTGGTGCAGTGGATAGAGCATTGGCCCTGGAGTCAGGAGGACCTGAGTTCAAATCTGACCTCAGACACATAACACTCACTAGCTGTGTGACCCTGGGCAAGTCACATAATCCCAACTGCCTCACCAAAAAAAAAAGTGTGTATGAAGAAAGGAAGTGATGCCCAAGTAGAAATGACTTTTTCAAGAAGTTTTATAGAAAAAGGAAAGAGAAAAGTTGGAAGGCTCAGGAGAGGGTTTTCTTAGGATGGGGGCACATTTGTAGGCAGCAAGGAAAGATTAAAGAGATGGGGACAGACTGAAGACTAAAGAGGGAATAGGGATGACTGCAATGATGATCTGAGAGAGAAGACAAGGGGATATGATCCAAGGTGGACGTGAAGGACTGACGCTCAGGAGAGAGGCTAGGGCCAGATCCGTCAGTCACCCACCTGGAGAGTTCATGATGAGGTCACTAAGGAAGAAGGTGTGGACAGGAAAGGGAGTAGGGAACAGGACAGAGGCTCTTGGGGAACACCTCCCCTTGAGGAGAAACCGAGAAAATGGTGCCATGGGAACCAAGGAGGAAAGAAGGCCCCATTAATAGCATCGAGTCCCCCACAGAGGTCAAGGAGAAAGAGGCTGGAGAAGATGCCACTGGGCAGCATTGGGGAGACAATGTTGTGTTCCACAACTCCAAGCTTTTCCCTGGAGCAGCAAGCATCTTTTTAAAGACCAATTATATCAACGAAGACTTGTTGCACTGAATTAAATACTATTCTAATAGTGCTGTGGCCGTGAGTCAGAGAACACCACACTCTCTGGAGAATCAGCATCCCAAGACACCCAAAGGACGGTGGAGATCTACCATGGGAACAATTGGGCCCAGCCTTTTCCCAGTAACAGTTACTATGAGAAGCGGCATAAAAGATGCTATTAGAGAGATGGCGGATGGAGGAAAGCATTCATGGAGGAACACTCATGGAGGACCCATGAGAAGGCAGATGAGAGCTCTACTGGATGAAAAAGGTGTGATCTGCACCACTGGAGGGAGTACTCACATCAGGGAGGTCACAGGCCTGCTGACACATTGAAACAGTCCTAATATTTGTTAGCTAATAGTGACCGATGAACACAGATTTATTAAGTGTTTACTACGTGCCAGGTACTGGGCTAAATCGGAAAAGTTCCTGCCCTCATGGAGCTTATATTCTAAAGGGAGAGATGAGATGTCTATAATTAGGTTTGTACAAGGTATGTAGAACACTGTAGATGACGGTAGCCTTCAAGAGGTGTGGAGAAGACCTCCAGTGAAGCTGATATTTGAGGTGGGTCTCAAAAGAAGCAGAGATTGGCAGGAGTGGGGCAGAGCATTCCAGGCATGGGGGACAGCCCAATGCAAAGGTATGGAGATGAAAGATGGCATGGCACATATTAAGAAGAGTGAGGAGGCCAGTGGAGCTGGATCATGGAGCGCTAATCATTGGTAATTATCAGCAAACATTAACCATTGGTTATTTATTAAGAGTAACAGTTCACACGAGAAAAAATAAAGGCAGCTTAAATTTATACATTGCTTTTGATAGCCATGTGAATTATCCCTATTTTACAGATGAGAAAACTGAGTTTCAAAGATAGGAACGGATTTCTCCAATTTCACAGCTTTGAGGTGGAATATGAACCCAAATTTTCTGAAGTGGTCTCATGGCCAAGGAAAGACATCCTTTCCTTGTCTGTGGGTACGGGAACAGGGAGGATCCCAGAACAAATAAGAATGAGAGTGATCATGGCAGAGAGGAAAGGACAGGGTGGGAGGGAGATGAGGCAGGATAGGAAAGGCTTTGCCCTTCCCTAAGACTTTGAGAGGGAGGGGTGGGAAGCAGGAAAGAGGCCCCATTCACGGAAAAGGCTGGGGCTTTGGACAAACATCACCAGGGAGAAATGTGAGAAGCAGGAAAAGATGGGCGTGACAAGGGGATGAGTCGTGGTGGTTATAAGTTCAATATCACAAAAGCATATGGAGCATCTACTATTAACAGCAGGGACACGAGTTTATCATTAACCTCATGTCTAATTATTCTCCATCTCCTGGCAGATAAAGCTCATTTTCCTAACTCTCTGGCATTGCTTTGGATAAAGCTTGCCACGTACTCACTGGGGCAAGGGCTTGAATTCATAACCAATGTTTGGTACCGCCTTCAGAGTGACCCCCAAGGCCCAAACCAAGGCTAACAGAATCTCAAGAACCCCACTGTCCTCGGGCTGGGAGGGAGGGCCTTAGAGATCCTTGTGCCATTTTCCTTGGCTCCGGTCTGAGAATCAGTCTCAGAAACTGAGGAGACGGCAGGAACATGCATTAAGCACTGTTAAGCGCTTTACAAGTATTGCCTGCCTTGGTCCTCACCACAACTCTATGGCGTAGGTGCTAGTATGCCCCCCATTTTACAGCTGAAGAAATTGAGGCAGACAGAGGTGAAGTGGCAGGTCTGAGGCTGGATTTGAATTCAGTCTTCCTGACTCCAGGTCCAGCGCTTTGTGCCCCGTATCTCGTATCTGCCTCAGGAAGAAATCAGAGATTACCCAAGCCAGCTTTAAAATGCACATCACATCATAACGCATTATTTACATTAGGGCTAAAACTGGCATGGTGGGCGAGAGCTGCTCAGGGTGCTGTACTTGGGCACACCACCAGGTGGTGCTCCAGCTCCATGCATATGTGGGCATCTGGTGCTCCAGCTCCAGCATGTGTGGGCATCTGGTGCGGGGAGGGATGCTTGGCCCCAGCCCTTCCTTTTAACTGCTGCTCTGGATTCGATTTATGGGTGTGATTACTCCAGTCGGGTTGCACAGCCATTGGGCCTCTTGAGGGCCAAAGGCAATGAGCCTCCCGCCTTAACCATAAAGCGAGAAGATGTGGACAGAGGATGAGTCCATGGAGGACGCCATCACGGGTCTTTTCGGGGCTCTCTTCTTCACACGGGGCCATGGCACCTCCATGAGCTGGCCCTCCCACAAACCACAGCAACCCTAGACTGAAGTTGGGTCCCAGGGCACCGTCCCAGGCCCTCTATTTCTTATTCTGGCGCTCCAGGAAATGGCAGAGGGACGCCTGCCAAGAGGTGATGCCAGAATCCCAGTTGCCCTCAACATCCCCAAACGATGCAGTTTTTTCAAGACTATCTTGAGTAAGGGTTGTCTCATACACACACCCATTTCACTTTTGGAGAGCTCCAATTGTTAGGAGGTGACAGTGAATAGAGCACTAGGTCTGGAGTTAGGAGGATCTGAGTTTGAAGAGGACCTCACACACTTACTAGTTGTGTGACCCTGGGTAAGTCACTTTACCCTGCTTGCCTGTTTCCTTATCTGTAAAACGAGCTGGAGAAGGAAATGGCAAGCCACTCCAGGGTCTTTGCCAAGAAAACCCCAAAAGGGATCATGAAGAGTTAGAAACAACCAGACAACAATTGTTAGGAAGCATCGGGGACGCTAGGGAGTCCCCTACTAGATGGTGAGCTCCCTGAGGGCAGAGGCTATCTTCCGCCATTTTTTGTATCCCTAGTGCTTCAACTCAGTGCCTGGCACACAGCAGGCACTTAATAGTTGTTGAGGTGAGGGCCAAACTGGGGCAGGCCTGAGACTGGGAGTGGGAGCAGACTTAAAGAAGGACGGGATTGAGTGGCAAAGCGTCGGGATTTTAACAGGCACAAGTGAGGGGTTAAGGAGATCAAACACAGCCGTTCTGCAGCTGCCCGAGCCCCGCTTCTTCGTCTCGGGAGTTAAATTTAAAAGCTCAGTTTACCTGACACTAGACGCCGGCTGCCTTACGAGTTCCGTCTCCTTAGGAACGGCTTTTCGGTGAAGGAAACCTGTTATGTCAGTCACACCAGCCGTCACCTCCATGAGCGCCTGGTCCGCTCTATGCACGTGGCTACCGCCAAGAGCTCGTTGGCCCGCGTTCCCAACTGCCAGCCAGTCCTACCCCCTACACCTCTGATGCTAAGGTTCTGTAACCAATCCCGGTGTCTTCCCGGTCGAGATGCGGCCTTCTGATTTTTGGTGGCTCCTCCTTTTAAGGATGACTGCCCTCATTTGGGGTCTTTCAGCTTGCCGATGAGATAGATTTCCTTTTGTTGGTAATTGCTATTGCTTTCCCAAAAAATTACATGGGTGGAAGTTTTGTGCCTCAGTTTACCTTAATTTCAATCACGACTGGATCTGGATGTCTGCGGGTTACGTTAGACTTGGGGCTGCCAAGAAAAGGGCAGGGTTCAAATTGGAGTATGGCTGGGGTACAGCATGAGAACGGGGTAGAGATTAAGGGTTAGAACGATGGGGGGTGTGGGTCAAGGGGTCAGCCCCTAGGCTAACGGGTAAACACTGAAGCAGGGTCAGGTTTAAGGTGAGATCGAGGGCTGGGTTAGGGGAGTCAGGATGGGGGAGAGGTCAGGCCTCCGCCATCTGCTCTGTTAAGAACATCTTCACAGTAGCCTAGAGAAGGGGAGTGCGTCCTGCAAGGAGAACCAGGGCTGAGCGTGGAAATCAGCGGCAGCACCCACAAAGCTGGGCTGAAGAGCAGCCCGGGGGGCCGGGGACCCACCAGGACCCCAGGCAGCCGCAGACGCTGGCCTCGGGCACCCCGGGCCCGAGGCTTTTCCCTCTAGGCCACGGTGGGAAGGCCATTTGCAGCTTCCCGGTCCGTCCCCCCAAAGTGAGCCAGCCTTCTCTCCACTCAGAGCCCAAGGTGGGAGGCCCTGAAATCTGAGGGGCTCATTCCTACTCGTAGCGCCCCAACATCCGTGAAGGGCCGCTGTACTGTGCCCCTGCCCCTCACCCCCCCAGGGCCCACGTCACTGTCCCAGACCCAAAGATGCCCAGATGGGGTGGCACACCATGGGAGACCGTTCCTTTACCCCGAGGTCCACACAAGTCTGCCAAAGGTCAGTGGCAGAGGCGGGAGCAGGCACATAATGAGCCCCTCTGCTGACCCACCCTCGGCTCTTGGGGGGGGTCTCTCCGTCCGGTAGTGACCGTTCCGCTGCCGCCCCAGTGGGGCGGACAAGAGCGCGTCCTCAGGCCGGACAGCACCTGACACCCAGGAGATGAGGCACCTCAGGGAGGAGGAAGTGTCTTTTGAACCCCGACCCTCGGACCCCAAAGTCCAACCCCTACCCAATGGCCCCCAGTAAAGACAAGAGGCGTCGGACCGCACCTGTGCCCGTGCCCAGGGCCCCCCAGGGTGTCCAAGGAGGACCTCTGGGCTGGTGGCAGGGAAGGTGGACACACAAGGAAGGGGCCGGGTCCCTCAACAGAGCGGCAGAGAACAGAGGGGGCCACGAGGGGGCCCGTGCCCGTCAGAAATGTCATTTATTACAGAGGTCAGAGGAGTGATCACCAGGGACAGTCACTGTGGGGTGAGGGGGAAGATCAGGGCTCCAACACTGATTGGAGGGCAGGGACTCAAGGCTGGGGGAAATCGGGGAGGGGGTGCCCACGTGCCCCAGCCCCATCTAATGCCTCCGGATAGAGGGGTCCCCCTGCCTGCCAGGCCTCCCTCCTGATTCCAGCTTCAGGAGGTGGCTGGGGAGAGGGTGTAGTGTGACTGGGTCAGGCTCGGACTGAGGCTGGGGGGGGGGGAGGAAGGGTTGCCCCCCTTTCACATGCACTCACAATACTGATCTCCCGGAGGGTGAGAGGAGGCGGGCATCCCCCTCCCCCCCATCCGGTTATAGGAGGAAGGGGTTAGTGTTAGGGGGTGGGGGTCCTGGGGGCATCATGGGAGGCAGGCCAGGCCCCCCACCCAGGGGCGAGATGAAGGCCGGTGGGGCCCCAGGACCAGGGGGCACAGGGCTGAGACGTAGCTGGTTCAGAGTGAGCGTGGCTGGAGGTGGAGGCTGGAAGGGGTTGGTGAGGGATGGCCCAGTGGCTGTGCCAGGGGCTCCTGAGGACGTCAAGAGACACAGCAGGGCAGGGCGGTCAGGGAAGAGCAAGAAGGGACGGGACCCTGGCTGTGGAGGGGGAGGGACGGGCCGGGGACAAGGGGGGAATGCCAGCAGGACAGCCAAGGGGGTGGAGAGCCAGGGCGAGCAGGGGAACCGTATCCTGCAGGGCCCGGGGCCCAGAGGGAGAGGGTGGTCTGCAGTGAGAAGTCCCAGCAGTATCTCCAGGTGTGGCCCCCAAGATGGAGGCCTGTCTGGGCTTAGCAGGGAAAAAGCCACAGCGGGGCGGATGAGGGAAAGGAGCCGGGCATGTCCACTCACCAGTCGGCAGGAAGGGGTTGGAGGCCTTGGGTCCTGGGGGGGCAGGCCCTGGCCGGGTCACCAAAGAGTCCAGATCCACGAGGGCAGCATTTGGCCCCAGGAAAGACTCTGGCGTCTTCCGCGTCGGAGGCGTGGGGGCTGGCGGCACTGTGGGTGGGGGGCTCCCCACAGCCTCTGCCAGGGAGCCCCCGACTCCGCTTAGGTCAAATGCCCCAGGGCTCCGTGCAGGGACCTCTCCCGCCAGAAGCTCCAGCTCCCCTGGGGGGGCAGAAGGGCAGAATCCAAGAGACCCGAGAGAAGGGGGCTCAGGGGAATCCCGGTGCCACAGGAACACTGCCTCCCCCCCCACAGCCAAGGACAGCGATGCTGAGGACGCCATGGCCACGTGCGGGTCACCGTGCCGAACAGAACAACTCCCCAGCCAGATGGGCCTCCTCACTAGTGAGCCTCAGGGATGGGCTCATCGCTGGTGGGCAGCCTCCCCCCAGGGTGAGGGCCAGGGGGCTCACCAGTGCTGCTGCCTGAGGTGGGCAGTGCCGTCCGAAGGCGGTCAAAGTCAGAGAATTCATCGGGCTCTGCGTCAAAGCCCCCAGGCACTGCATGGGACAGAGCGAGCTCTGGGGCCTCCATCCCACAAGCCCATCTCCAAAGGAACTTGGCCAGCTCGGCCCCCCCGGCCACCTCCCCAGGCTCTCTCTCTCACTACCAGGTACCTGGGGTGCCGTTGGTGCTGGGCTTGGCCGGGGAGCCTCCCCAGGGGTCTGAGAAGGCTGGTGCTGGTGTCCATGGGTCAGCGGTGGTGGACGGGCCGCTGACCGGGGCCCCACTTGGGCCTGAGGACGAGATCAGGAGAATGTGCAAAAAGGCATCATGGGGGCTAGAGGGGACCGGTGGGAAAGGGAGCTACCAGGCCAGGTCAGGCCCCACCCCACACCCCTCCAAAGGGAGACTCTGTGGCTGGGAGAGAATGGAATTAGAAGCTAACAAGGTCAGTACTTACCATCAGCTCCCCCCCAGGGGTCTGGGGTCCCCCCTTCTCCAGCAGGGGGAGCAGGGGGGCCCCCCCAGGGGTCAGCTGCAGGGCCAGGGGGTGGGGCAGGTCTCCAGGGGTCCCCAGAGGCAGGGGTGGGAGCTGGGCCCCCCCAGGGGTCAGCTGAGGGTGGGACAGGGGGTCCTGGGGGCCCCCCCCAGGGGTCAGAGGGTGGGACAGCTGCAAGGACGGGACCGCCCCAGGGATCAGAGGAGGGTGGGGGGGCAGGGGCTGTGAAGACATCAGCCAGATCCATGAGAGATGACTGGGGAGAGAGAAGAGATCAAACGTGAGAGAACTGGGAGCACAGAGAGACCCCGAGGCCGGCGAGACGCAGCCCCTCCCGCCCCGGGCCCCCTCACCTCTTCCTTGCCCCCGGTCTCCCTCTTGCTTTCCTCAATCGCCATCTGCAGCCTCAGGTCATCGCCCCGACGAATCCGTTCCTCCTGGGGGACAGGGGCACCCGGACGGCAGGCAGAAGAAAGGTTAGGACGGGCCCCACGTGCTCACCCCCAACTTCCCGAGAACCCGCTCCCCGCAACGGTGCCCAGCAAATAAACATGAGGTGGGGATGGAATGAGGGGATTCACACGCCTGCAGCCTGGGGCGGGGGGCTTGGGCCTCAGGGAGAGGACGGAGAAAGAGGGGGGAAGGACGTGGCTCTGACCTTGTCATGCTCCTCCCGGCTCAAACTAAGGGCCAGCTGGAGCTGGACGTCATCCTCAGGGCCACAGGGTGGGGGCTGGCAGGGTGGGGAGAGAGAATGTGAGGGGGCGACCAGGACTGAGAAAGAACCGCAGAGCGAGGGAGAGCGAGGGAGAGCCAGAGAGAGCCAAGGAGAGCCTGGGGGAGCCTGGGAGAGCCAGAGAGAGCCAGGGAGAGCCTGGGGGAGCCTAAAAGAGTCAAAGAGGGCCTGAGAGAGCCAGAGAGAGCCTGGGAGAGCCTGGGGGAGCCAGAGAGAGCCTGGGAGAGCCAGAGAGAGCCTGGGAGAGCCTGGGAGAGCCAGAGGGAACCTGGGGGAGCCTAAAAGAGTCAAAGAGAGCCTGGGAGAGCCAGGGAAAGCCAGGGAGAGCCTAAAAGAGTCAAAGAGCCTGAGAGAGCCTGGGAGAGTCAGAGAGAGCCTGGGGGACTCAGGGAGAGCCAGAGAGAGCCTGGGGGAGCCAGGGAAAGCCAGGGGGAGCCTAAAAGAGTCAAAGAGAGCCTGAGAGAGCCAGAGAGAGCCAGGGAG